GACTCATGGCTCTCTCAGCACTTCCCAAACAAAGCAACAGCAACAGAGGCGTCGGCGTTGAAAAAGCAAACTCAGACGGTCGGACTCTAAGTCATTAAACCACAGAGTATCGACTGATGCATGAGAACTAAAACAACGCCTCTCGAACCCCTTCTTGTTCTCTACCACCGTAGAGCAACAACACCGGGGAATGTCTCTTGAAACCATGGCTCGGATCAGAAAGATCCAAGCGACCTAATCCGTTTGTATAAACACTCTGTAGGAAAGCGGGGAGTTGGAAGACCACAGAAAAAACTCTTATGAGCCGAAAGCCTGTGATACAAGGCTGCTTTTCATTGGCTCATCCGCGCTTTCCACTTTTCATCAAGAACGTCTATCGAAATTGAAAGTGAGTCACTTGAAATCTGGCAGTGAAAACGTCAAGATGAACAAAACACTTCCCATACATGCAAAATGAACAGGGACGGTTTCTAAGCCGTTTTCCCGAAGTGTACTTCGACGACAACGAGTACAACGTCACACCGAAGATAGACGACATAGATGATCCACGGCTTCCGTGTGTGTGTCTTCTGTGTCATTGCCCAGAGGACAGCAAGCTTCATCTCCCAAAGATGATGGAGCTCAACCTGTTCGGTGGACCAAGGTGGGACATCATCACTGAACAACTCATCGAACAGGAAGAGTTGTCCCTCAGGTACCCGATCTTCCATGAGCGGGTCCTCCGTGTGTTTCGAAAACAAATGCGGGACACACTGTTCACGTGGGATGAAGACTGTGGGCTATATGCCTTCACAGTGGCATTCACTACCGAAGTGTATGCCGAATCCAAATGCGTGGTCACCGCATCTATCGTGACACAGGTCTGGGAAGACCTTGCAGGTCCATTCTACAGGAGCAGATGGACAGGGATCGCGAGAGGATGGCTCCGAACAAAATTGTCGGAGCACGTAAAGACATCGTGACCTTCCGATATAGGGAGGAAATCCTCAGTGAGTTGAGAGACGGGGAAACTCTCGGATACTTGTTCGAGAGAATAACGAAGAGTGTTCCTCTCTCAAAATTCGCCATCCCTGGAACCAGGTGGACATAATCAACAAAATTGTTCTATACTCTACTAAATTACAAATAAATTAGTTAGAAAGAGTAATTTGGTATTTATTCCATACCAAGGTATTGCCCTAGATTGATTGACTATGAGAGTTAAGAATCACTAGGTAATCATCCTTAGATTGTTCCATCTAAGGGAGGATGTTGAAATACAGAATACTAATGGCATGCCGTCTTCTGTAGAGTAGCTGTAACATTCTCAGCATGATTACAAAAAGCGTCTAGACAGACTTCTGGACCAGACAACCCTGATCTGAAGGACGTATGTCTTCAGATCAGTACATACAAGTGATGCTCTCCACTAGGGTATAAATACAAGTAATAAAGACTCGCAGAGCGAGGAGTTACTGATTCACACCGAATCTCTGTTTCTTTATTGTGCCGTGATCTTCCAGCCTCACAGCATACTTCCAGATCCAGTGTCTACCGACTGACCCTACAGTGGGTTATATCCAACAGTTTCGTGGAAATTGCTGCCGCATCGCTTGCACGGGGACCCCACCGGCTTCCGCTGCTGCCGTCCGCTTGAGTTCGGTCCGCTCGGATATCCTGATACTTTTTCCGGTTTCGCACCGTTCCACCGGGTCATAATCTTATTGACCACCGCTTCGGCTGGAGTCATCCGGGTTGCAATATTTCCGAACTCTGCCGCTTCTCTTGCGTTGATTTCTGCCCGTGCCGCGGCCGTGATTGCATCCTCGAAGTGCTCGTTGTCCTTGCAGGCTAGCAATTCTTTCCGGACGCTCGCGTTGTTCGTCTTCGCGGTGATCTGGGAGATGATTGCGTCGTCCGCTGTCATGGGGAACTTGCATTTGTTTGCGAGTCTCCGGAGCGCTGCTGCGTAGTCTCGGACCGATTCCCCTTGATGCTGCTCCCGACTGAAGAAGTCCGTCCTGGCCGCCGCCAGTCCCTTTTGCGAAGAGAATCTTCGGTTGAGTCTGTCGATCGCCTTCTCGAAGTCGTCCTCTCCCGTGGCCTCCAGATGTTCGATCGCTCTGTACTGGGCTTGCCCTTCTGCTCCGAGACAATGCTTCAGTATTGCGATCCGCCGAGTCACCGGCCACGACGCCGTCCCTCCTCGAGCCTCCAGATACGTCCGGAAGTTCTCCACCCAGTCTTCCCACTGTACTACCGGATTTTCCGGTTCTGGGAGAAACTCCCTCGGAGACGCGAAACCGTTGGCCGAATCAGACATTTTTCGCGCTGTCACTTTTGTCGACTGCGCCACTTTATAGTTCTGGTGGAATGAAGACTCGAGTTCACGGGACTGCCCTGTTTCCCTTTATTCCATGGCTTATATAGCTGCCCTCGGATTAACCTCCCTCTTACTCTCAGAGGTCCTCCTCGCCTACATCGGCTCTCTCGTTCGGATGTGCATCTAGATCTCCACAGCTGACTACCCGCTGCTACCTATGTACATCTAGACACAACACAGAGGCAATCACAGACATCGCATTTATTCCCGAACTCGTTGTGAAGGAACATATTTTTGAATCGCTGCGTCGCTTTTTTCCACCTATTTTCGTAAGCCGCATTCCTCGTGCATTCGGTACCTCCATCGAAATTCGCATTATATTTCTGAGGACACCCAGCTCGTTTCGACTATCGCTATCCTGACGCATGAAATGTACCGATTCTTGCCGACTCACATTTCCATCTTCAGGGATCGAACTCAGCGCACCAAGATCTCCCGTGTCGGCCTCTGGTGACTGAGCCATTGCACGACTACGAGCACGATTTTCGCGGAATTTTTCCGTTGATGTTTTCGGCCGTTTCGCAGCTGCTTCAGACTGCCCTATATTTTCAGCTACTCTTGCTTTCCGCTTTATTCGCATGATGCTACTTGTCTTCGGTCTCATGGCGAAGACCAAGGAATGAAGTCCCCTTGGGAGACTCAGCTGCACACTTCGTTATAATATATCGAATCTCGGCGAAACCTCCGTTTCCAATTGCGGATAGACGAGCTAATCTCCACTCGGAACCCTGTTCAATTCAAGATCCTCCTCAAATCGGAATCCCAAGTGCAAGAAACTTATTTAGTATGCGGTCTGAAAGTAGATAAAGAAAACCTGCATAGCCGCTGCGGTTTTCTCCACCAGAGCAAGGGATAGGTATCCCTACGAGTTAGATTATTCCCCGGACAAGCAGTCTTGAGTCACTTAAAGTCCGTGTCGTCGCCGATATACATCAGAGTCTTACTTCCATTCAATTGCTTGAGCCGACCATTCTTCCCCTATTCTGGAAAACAATCATTTATGCGGCTGGATAGAGGCATTCGTGGGTCGACAGAAATTGTCTAATGGGACCTCTTTCTCAGCTCGGTTCCGGACGAAAATTCATCGGAACAAAGTCCCGTGAATTTGCAATCTTCCGACCCAATCCTCGTGATATTTCGATTCCAAACAGCGGAGATCCAGCCCCGCGAAAGCGGACTAGATTTCGTTGCATGGAGGAAGAAGCTTCTTTGACCGGCTACTGGAGACATTTTGAAGACGTTTTCACTTCAATTACATCAAACACTCCAGTTTGTCAGAGTTTGTTGTTGAGGTTGAAGGTGCCCCGGATGTCTTCGGAGAATGTTCGGGTGTCGCACATCAAGTATACGAGCCTGTTCCGGCAGGATCGATGTACCCCGAGTACCCTTTTCAAAAAAGCCGCTTTCAGAGAGTTGAGTTTGTTCAAGTTTTGGGTTGTGAGATGGTCCCAAATCAATTGAACCCCATAGCTAGCAATGGGAGCGACCTTCAGTTGAAAAAGTTGGAGCGCCGTAGGGAGTGAAAGCTTCTGGGGCGAGGATATCGTTGCAAACGCTATGAGCGCTTTTCTGACCCTTTCATCGATGTGCTTGGTGAAACTTGAGCCGGTCGGAGTCAGCGTGATACCGAGATACGTGAATTTGTTCACGTATTTTATCTCGCTGTGGTTGAGGTGCAATTTGTCTTCTTTCGCCAGGTGGCCTCCTCGCCTGAATTTCATTGCTTCGGTTTTCGTTTTGTTGATCGATAGTCCGAGCTCTTTGACACTCCTGGGCAGTGTGCATAATGCATTTTGGAGGTGATAAGTTTCTGTCGCATACATGACGATGTCGTCAGCGAACATAAGTAGCCTGACTGAGGGATGTTTTGAGATTATGGTCTCGGGTAGCTTGCCAGTCAATACTGAAAACAGTATCGGGCTCGTATTTTCTCCCTGGGCGAAACCGTTGGTCTGTTCGACTGTTGTCGACAACGTGACGCCGTCGTCGATGTCAATTCGGTTCTTTTGAAGAATGGCTCTCAACAGACCGAGCAGCTTCGACGGGACGCCTCCCCTGGCGAGTATCTCCAGTGTCAGGGACCTGGATCCTGAGTCGAATGCTGAGCTGAAGTCTATGAATACGGCGTGCATGTGATGCGGCGGGCGGTCGAGAGAGCTCCGGATGTCTCGCATCAGTATTTCACATGCACTCAGTGTTGATCTACCTTCACGGAACCCATGTTGTTGGTCTGGAATGATGCCTCTAGTCTCCAGGAACGGCACCAGCCTTCCGAGGATCAACCTGGACAGGAGTTTCAATATGTTGCTCTTTTTCGTTATTCCGCGCCACGAATTGGGGTCTGCGGGGCTACCCTTGGACTTTGGGATGACTATCATCGTGCCATTACTCCACTCGCTGGGGAGGGTACCAGAATCTAAACACTTGTTGAATAGTTTTTCCCATGTCGGGATGAGTCCCAACGACCGCTTGATATGTTCGTTGTAAACCTCGTCCGGGCCGCATGCTTTGTGCGCGGGGAGCCGGGCGATTGATTCGTAGATTTCGGTAACAGTGAATGGGCTCTCGATTTCGTCTCTATACAGCATCTCTTGTTCGTTCCATACGGCCGAATATTGCGGAGTTTCCGATGGTACTGTATCGACTGACGCCAGCATATCCTCAAAGTGCCTTCTCAGATCTTTCGGGTTGACCGGACAGGACGGCCTAGGAGTGCTCATGAGTTTCAACCAGGTGTATGGGAGTTGCGTAGCGCGTGCAACCATTCTCCTTTCATATTCCAACCAGTGTTCCTGTTTCGCTTTGTTGAGAGTTCTTCTGTAGTGTGCTTTCGTTCTGGCTAGCAGTGGACTCATGTATTCGTGATGCTGTTTCAAGATTTTGAGTTGGATCATGATTTTCTTGGTCCTCGTGCACTCGGGGCTCCACCATTGTCGCTCCCTGTGGGGTTTCCTCGGTAAGGCACAGGTTTTCAGAATGCTCGTTGCAATTCTATTGAGCGTGTTGACGTCTGCGTCCCCCACTATCAGTGGATCATTGCCTATGACTGCGAGGTGAGCTCCCAACTTGTTAACGTCGATTTGGCGTGAAGGTAGAGCTCCGAGCGATTCTTTTCTCCCCATGGCGATGTTTCGGATCTGTATCGAGATCGGCGAGTGTGTCGACAGGAGCTCTCCCTCGGCCAGGCTCACACTGATTCCTCCAAACCTCACGGCTGCGAGTGGGAGGTTCGTCGCGAACAGATCGATCGTCGATAATCCCATCGGGCCATTGAATGTTCTGAGCTGCGGGTCGTTCACGACGCAGAGT